CAGCTTCTCCCTGAGACCAGCCTGGGGGTGGAAGGAAGGGGGTGGGCGAGGGCAGTGCAAGACACCTGCTGGCTTCTCTGCAGAGGCGGAAGAGTATGGGGGTGGGAGGGGCAACACATGCTGCCTTGCCGCCTGTCAGTTCTCCCCGGAACCAGCCTGAGGCCAGGGCAGGGGCTGCACAGGCTTTTCCATGGGGCTGGCCTTGGGTCCAACAGTCAGCTTCTCCCTGGGGCTAGCCTGAGAGTGGGGGGCAGGATGGGGCCATGCAGGCTGCCCACCAGTTTCAGCCACACAGGCTGTCTATTGACTTCTCCTTGGGGGTGTGCGTGGGGACCGTGAAACCCAGTCAACAGGAGCCCTGCGGTGGCGGGGACCATGCAACAGCCACTCCCTGGGGCAGGCTACAGTGGTGGGGGCTGTGCTGCCAGTCAGCAGCTGTTCCCTGGGGGCTGGAGAGCTTGCTGCCCCTGTGGTCATTTGCGAATATAATTGTTGCCCATGTTTGCTGCCCCACTCCCCCCCCGGAGGTCACTCATGAGTGTAATTGTTCCTGCTATCACACCCATTTCCTTGTTTTGCAACAAATGGAATCTCATTCCATACACATCCCATTGTCCTGGCACAACCAAACTCTGACCTTGCTTTAAGTTATGATAAGAGGAAGCTGCATACCAAATTTGGTGGTCGTAGCTCTTACCGTTTAGAAGGAGTTCTTGAACAAATGGACTCTCAGACAGCCAGATAGACATACAAACTCTCTAAATATATATAGTAGATGATAGGTGCAAGAAGGGATGCATACGATAGAGTTAATAATTAATACATTTGCATACAACATAGAGGCAGAAAGATTCTAATCTTATTTATCTAAGAAGCCTATACACGGTCAATTCAATTCAAATACTCCTTATTTACATGTGCCATTTGCAGCATGTCACCACAGGCAACAAAATGGAACAAAACACAGTGCTTGCTTCATCCGCACTTTTATGTAGTGACAGCCAGACAGGTGACAGTTTTTTAAGGCTCCAGTGAACTATGAGGATAACTCTTCAGAGAGGTCAAAATTTAAAGAGCACAGCATCCACTTTGAAACCAAATGTTAAAGTGATCTCAGCTCCCATTTAGACATCAAAATTAATGGCCACATTTTTCAAAAGAACTCAGTATGTTGGGTGCGGAGTGCTTCTGAAAGCCTGGCCCTTATTTAGATGACTAAGTCGGAGAAGGACTATTTTGAAAACCTGACCCAACTGCAATTGCTGAGCACTTTTTACAATTTTTGTCCTAACTGCCTCACTATGTGTAGTCAAAGCAAAATGCAGGACAATGTAGCACTTTAAAGACTAACAAGATGGTTTATTATGTGTAGTCAGATTTTGTACTAGAGATGACAGCAACAAAATCCTGTTTTATGAATATCCTTTTCAACAACCATCTAGCCATCCATCATTTGAAGCTAGGAAGATTGAAAAGCCCCACTACAGCAATTTATTTCATGGTATGACATCCTTTGCTTCACTGAAATGCTTCAGAAAAAGTTGACAGACTGGTGAGCCATTCCAGAAAGGAACCTACTCCATCTTAGTTCCCAGGTAATCTTTGTAAAAGTTCCCACTATCGAGTACCTTTCAGTTTACACCAGCTGGGGAATAGGAGCCTGATCAAAAGCTGACTGAAGTAAATGGGAATGGTTCCACTGACTTCAATGAGCTTTAAATCAGGCCCTAAATTTAGTTAGGGTGCTGAGACACATTGGCAGAGTAGTAAGCTAGGACTATACTCTTGATCTGTGGATAAAGAGCAAACTTTGTTTTCCAGCACCTTTTGCAAGTATTTAAATATGCTTAAAGTTGTGATATTAACAAGAAGAAATTCATGAAAGAATGTGAGTAGATTGTGATCCAAGAACATTTTAATTTGGCAAATGGGTTACAAGAATATCCTGATCCTGGTCCAACATTTGAGGTCTCAAATGAAAGCTGTGGACACACAAACATAATGTATGCATGTATACTGCAAATATATTCTTAGACTCTGCATCCAGATATTATTCACCAGCAAAGGTGAAAAACAGGTCTTTCAAATAAAGAAATGTTTCTCTCTGCACGATGTATGAAATGTTTCTCTCTGCACTGTGAGACAAAACAATGGATGCCTTTTTGCATACAAAGTCAAATGTAAACAAGGATGTGAAATCAACAGGAAAGGAGTACACAGGATAAAAACAGGCATGTGCAGGGGAATTTTGTCTAGGAATAAAGGCAATGCATTTTGGGAGTTCAGGTTGGACCTCCAAAAACTGGGACTCAATTGTCTTGGCAACATCTGTGGTCCAGTAGGACCAGTTGGACCACGGATGTTCCTGGACGAGGGACTCCTGGCTGGGAACCCCATTGGAAAGAGGTGGCTCAGAGGTCCTGGGGCTGGGGCTGTGGAAGCCCCAGTAGCATAGCTGGGGCTGTGGAAGCCCCAGTAGTGGGGCTGGGAACATGGCAGCTGTGACAGCCCCAGTAACCTAGCTGGGGATGTGGCAGCCCCAGTAGAGGGGCCAGCGCTGGGTACGTGGCAGCCCGACTGCTGTGGCCACAGGAGCATGGCAGCCTGGCAGCGGGGTGACTAGGGCTGGCAACGGGGAGGGAAGGTGGGCTGGGAGGCTGGTAGCAAGAGACCTCCCCTGGTCCAGCAAATTCCCTCATTCAGGACCAGTCAGGTCCCCAGGGTTGCCGGACCAGAGAGGTCCAATCTGTATTACTGAAATAGAAATCACTCTTGGTTAAAGTGTTAAGAGACAATTTTGGGCGAGACAAACTTTTCTTTAGATAGGACATTAACCTGTTACTTAAGCTTCATCTCTTGTTACGGTTGGTCTCATGTTATGGGTTTGTTTTGTTTTATACGTAACCATTTGCTTAGAATATTATTACTCTCTGCCACTTGAATCTCTAATCTTTGATAGTAAACTTATTTTTGTTTTCACTATAAATATTTCTGAGTGCTATGGTGGTAAGCAAAAAACAGGTCCTGAGTTGAATATTAAAAATTGGTGTCTACTGTTCCTTTGGGAATAACAGTAATTCTGGTAATTCTATGAGCATTCAGTGGATAAGGGGCTGGACACCACAAGGAATGCTCTGAGTATTGGGATAAGGAGTTGATGTGTGCCTGTTGCTGCCTGTAAAGAATAAGCAAGGTTTGCAGAAGAATGTGCCAGTGATTGTTGGTTTTAGGGACCTAATCCACAACAAGAACAGACAAGATTCTTTGATGTTAAGTCCAAGGAGTTGTGAGGAGCCTCACAATCTGTGTTGCCTCTGGAGCACATCATATCTATTTTGGCAAAATCATAAAACTAACAAGATAATGCGGTGACGAAGATGATCACTTTTCTAACCTTTGAAACAATAGCAATAGATTTGAAAGTCTGAGATTTCTGCTATGTAATTAAAGTCTTAGAGGTTCCATTACATGAAATAGATACTGGGCTTAAAAAATGTCTTTGTTATTACATGTATTAGTTTGTTACTGGATTAAGCAAGTGAAATTATTGCTGCTGGTCATGTTTTAGCAGGGCACTCCTGTAAATTAAAGCATCACTTAAGGCTTTGGTTGAATAATTTTAGTGTTACATGTAAAAGTATCGGGTCTATGACAGCACAGCTATCCATTTTAGAACAGATTTACTAGCCATTCTTTTCACCAGCATATTGGCCAAGTGAATGCAACGAAGGATCTGAGAGCATTAAAGGGTGCAGAGTTTCACGAGACTCTCTCTCTCTTTTTTTTTTTTAAAAGAAAAAATGCATCAGATACAGCTATATTTTGGAGAGATATTGAAAACAAGGTGATGAAGCATGATCACCGAGGAGGAAAAAATCTGCAGGTCTTTTACATTATGACATCACTGAAAACCATTCTGTTTTTTGTAGAAGTCCCTTCTCACTGAATTATGCTTTTATTGTGTTTTAAGTAAATCCAGCTCTCTGAAAGATTAACTCGAATCACTATTTGACAAAACAAAAGGTAGGGATGTTGAAATGTGATTATTTTTGTAAATGTGTAATTGCTGAAATTTACAGCAGTTACACGTTTACACACAGTGGAGCCAGGTGAGAGCCAGTGCTTGTGGGGAGCCAGCTCCCTGCAAGCATCAGCTCCTGGCTGCACTCCTCCCTGCACTGCTACCTCTGATACAAAAGCAGCAGCGTGGAGGGGCAGGCGGCTCCTCAGGAGCCAGTGCTCACCTGCCCCCCTCTTTCCCCACACTGATGCCTCTATGGGAAGCAGCTCTGCAGGAGCTGGCATGAGCAGGAAGTTGGCTTTTAAGCCAGCTCCCTGTGCCTACCCCTCCTCCCACTTCCTCTGTATCAGAGCATATCAGTTCCCCATGAACACTGGCTCCTCTCCCTCCCCCCTTCCCCCCCTTGCTGCTGCATGGAACTGTTAGGATTAACCGATGAGCCCAGGCTGATCAGTTAATCATGTAAATAGGTACATATTCACAATCCTAATAAAGTCTAACTTGCTAGTATCAGTACAGACTTGAAATAGCTTTTCCAATAGTGATACATGATATGTCTATTTAAAGGAAACTGTTATACCTTTAATTAGAACAATAGCAAAATTCAATGCCCTGAAAATAAGGGCAGAAACACTATTTAATAAGGCACACAGTTTAGTCTTCTCTTGCTAATAACTAACAATTTTAACAGGTTATTGCCATTTTGATATTAACAAAAGTCATTTTAATATCTTTTACAAGGTTTCATTGCTAATTATAATGATTTTAAGAAGATGAAAGATGATTTTGTACAGTGTTTCTGCTGATTTGCTCATTGAAACACAGAATTGTCCATTTATTTTAACTAATTTACTACAGGAAAATAAAACCAAAGAATATGTTTGTGGAAATTTTCAGGCAGTTAGCCAAGAAGGAAGTACATTACATAGTCCATATATTCCATAATATTTACAACTGTGGCATGGTGTGTTGGATTTACCTCTTTGAATATCCCCGTGACCCAGACATGATACTGCAACTCTTGGTTCCAAATGCTCCGAACAGGCTGTCAGCCAACTTTCGTAAGTCTTCTGTAGCTCAGCCCACTGGCTAGATCACAGGATCCAAAATCTTTCCAGGATATAGTTCCTTGCCCTGTTGGTCCAATTATAAACAAAACAGTCTCTTGCCTTTTGAGAATAAATTTCCTCTCTTGAATTGGGTCAGCAGGATTCCTCCTGAATTCCTTATAGCTAGAGGCTAAACTGGGGCCATTTAGCAATAGTCCAGGAAACATCCTTCCTTGCTTATAGAATCCTAGAATTGGAAGGGAACTCAAGAGATCATCAAGTCCAATCCCCTGCCCTGACAGCAGTACCAAACACTATCTAGATCATCCCTGATAGACATCTGTCTAACCTACTCTTAAATATTTCCAGTGGTGGAGAGTCCACAACCTCCCTAGGCAATTTATTCCGGTGTTTAACCAATCTGTATGTATGAAACGGATTGTTCCTTCCTAAGTGGAATAATTTGCATTCGTCCTTATTAAACTTCATTCATGCTGTTTACCTCAGACCATTTCTCCAGTTTATCCAGATCATTTTGAATTATGACCCTATTCTACTTCTCTGGCTCTAGCCTCGGGGTGTCCAACCAGTTCTGAAGCAGTAGCCACTATAGTGTCTACTGCTATAGTGAACTACCCACACTCAACCGGCCAAATAGCCACATGTAGCTAGTGGCTAGCATGTTGGACACCAAGGCTCTAGCTAGAAACTGACTTGCTGATACTAGGCAGCACCTGCTAGATCTTGATTGGTTGTTGCTGGCTCCCAGTCCTTCTAGTTGCTGGAGAACCAAATCTCACTGGTTTTCAAAATGGCTACTGTTCTAGGCAAACTGGGAGGTCAAATATTTGCTGTCCTTTTCTTCTCGTGACTGTTTCCTAGGCCTGTATGCAACAGAACAGCTAGTAAGGATCTTCCAAATAGGACTGTCACAAGAGGTTTGAAATCTAACAGGAATATCACCATTACTTTATTTTGTGACTGAGATGGGGATAGGGACAGAAATACCACCATTATCTTATTTTGTGATTAATCTGAGAATAGGAAGGAAAATGTTATTTTTAATTATACAGCATTGCAAATATAAACAATGCTTTTCAAATCACAGAATAAGGGCTTGTCTTAACTGAAAAGACAACTCAAGTTAGCAATGTCAACTAATTCGAATCCCATTCACAAATACACCCTTAGTGTACTGTTACGATGCTTTTCAATTAAGTTGGCTGGCCTGTCACAGGGAGGCTAAAGCTTGAGTGATGATAAGTTGAGTATTCATAAATCATCAGGAGCTAATATGACCACTCTGCAATGTGCAGAGTAAATACACTTGCATGCTGCTAGTTCTACAATTCCTTACCCTGACAGCCTCTGTGACTCCCAAAAGGGCAGATAACTTGTCCCACAATTCACTGGGAAAGTACAGAATGTTTCATCTTACTCTAATGTCAAGAACCATGGGACATTCTGTGTGGCATTAAGATTTATCAGGGTGAGTGCAGCACTAATATAAATACAGTGGCTGAAGTGTTATTCTACAATGTGGCTACTCTAACTTGAGTTAGGCTACCTAGAGAGAAGTAACTCCAGTTTAACTTACCTGTGCGGTGAAAACATACCCTGTAAGAGGGATACTGAGACTGAGGGTCCCAAACTGCAAATGGCTGTTTATTATGTCTCCTGCAGCTCTTTGCTACACATAATATTAAAACACTGTGTGGTTTAATTATTAATCAGTCTAAGTTACTAACCAACCAGGATGCTTTTACTGCATTTTAACCACTTGTAGTTGATAAAATAATAATACTTGGTAGGTCATTTTGCTGTGAGACAAGTACACACACTGAACATGTTTCCTGTCATACTGTTTAAATATGAATATATAGTACTATAAATAAATAAAACAACGAATTCATACTACTGTGGCTTTTTTAAGGTAATGTTGATCACTAATTTTGCTCCTGAACCTCTGAAGTCTGAGTTTCATTGGCCTACAACAACTGTTCCTACTCCCAAGAGTTCATAATCCAAAGCCCCAATCGTGTAACATGTTACAAAGAACACCACTGAAAGTAGTGTTGGGTTATTTCAGGGGATTTACTGGAGATTATGAGCTACAAAAACTAAAAAGAGATTTGATTTGGAATACAAAGATTGATTTTGGATTGATAGGCATAGTTGCTGTATCATATAGTGGACTGAGCACAGGAATGGGTTCTGTAAATGCCTGAATTGTCAATCCCGCTCAAATATTGTATTTTGTGTGTCCAATCTCAAACAGGGATCAGTTATTAAACTTGTTGAGAATCTTGGCTTCCATTGCCATAAAATAAGAACCTGATATTGCTTACTTCACAAGATAAAAATTAATGAGTCAGATCCCCCAAAACACAAGGTTGTTTTTAATGAAACCATGTTTTTAGTTTGTCTTTAGACTTTTTAGCTCCATTCTATTGCTATGCCAATATATGTGTATGAAAATGCAGACCACTCCTTGATTCTCTAGATGGAGACTTCACTAACCCTCTCCTCACTGAGGTAAGGAAAAATTATGCATTTCCTAGTACAGTCTTGACCTAGCAGTAACACTTCCTTACCACCTGCTGCCCTGGCATCTCTTTATCTAGGACCCAGGGGCACCACTCCTCTCATTCTCATGGGTCTTCTCTGCCTGGTACCCAGCAATAGGGTGAGCGTATTTCCTTATGCTGAATACATGACAAGTGGCATAATCACTCATATTCAAGTTAAGTGGCCATAAATCACACAAATATTCAGATTAACATCAAATTGACTGAGTCCCTGTTAAAAAAGAAATATTACCTACTTGGATTATTTTTATATATCCTTTTATCTTTAAAGACCCCTGGGACAGACCCCCCTCTCTAGGAACCTGGCACAACATCTTCCCAAGGCAACTTGTCCTCAAGGTCACATGCCCCCCACCTCAGATTTCTGCCAAGAGTCATATCAGAATGTTGCCAACAGCAGCCTTTCCATCACTGTGCCAGAGGGAAGGGACAGGAACTGCTTCCAGCTGCAGGGGAGGGAGGGTAAAGAGATGATCTGGCCTGTATCTCTGCAGAGTTAATTTCTACCTCCCCCCGCCCCCCCGCACTTCTCTGTGATTGCAAGCCATTTATCCCTTCCTGTCATCAGAGTGTCACAAGGCAGCTAACATCTCCAGGCTGCTGCTGGCTATGGACATAAGCCAGCCACCTCCTTTCCCCTGGCAATGGCATAGGCAGGAAGGGGTTAAGCCGTAAGGATGCACTGTGCACCAGGGCCCAAGGAAGCTGACTGCAAGGCTTCCGGGAACCCAGTCAGAGAGGAGAGGTGGCTCAGCAGAGGAGGGTGCCTAGGGAATGTAGGGGATGGAGTAGCAAGCTCCCTGGGGCTCCTGCTGGTAGGAGGAGAGCTGCTATGGAGCCCTCAAGTTTGAGGTATGAACAGGCTGGAAGTCACATCTCCCTTCATTACATCACTCCAGAGATTAGCTGAGAGGTTTCCCAAGCCAGCACTGTGTTGGGCTTTGGCACATGGAGGCTTAGTTCTTCCTGTCCAACTCCTGGGGCTGGAGGATCTTGGTCTTTCCCAGAGCACCTGTTCAGCCAGCAGCATTGGGGGAAGGAAGGAGTCTGCCAACCAGGTTGTTAGTGAGTTGAGCACTCCAATCAGGGACTAGTTCTCTGCACAAAGCTGAGAGTGAGATGCATCCCACTGGGATAGGGATATGGAGAAGCAGCTGGGCTGGTGTATGTGTGAAGGGGCAAAGCAAGGAGATGTCAGTGAGAAGTTAAAAACATAAAGGGCAAATGAGTAGGCACAAGAGGCAACATGTAACTGACCACTCTCCAACCATCACAGCTCACAGCCAGTGTCAGCTGGAAACAGGATAGAGGCTGACAGCACGCACACAGTGGGGGCTTCTCTGATGGACCAGTACAGGTAATGAACAGCTTCATACACTATAACTTCACCCCACCACTTGCCTTGCATACACACCCCTATCATTGGCTACTAGAAACCCCCCTTCCCCACTGTTGTTAGCTGCATGGGATGGTGGCATGCAGGGACACAGCCAGAAGCAGGACATGCTAGTACTAATGTAGGAGGGAGTGTGTGTGTGTGTATGTGTGGGTGAGTGATGAGAAAATACAGGACAATTTGCCCATTTTAAAGAAAAAGTTGGGACACTTGCAGGAGGGTTTAAATATGGTACAGGAGGGTTTAAACAGGATATCTGATCAGCTTACACAGCAACAGTTTCTCCCCAACTCCTTCCTCCCTCTGCTCCAAGACCCCCTTTGTGCTGTAGGGCCACACCTGAAAAGAGAGCTTAGTGGCCAAGCTGATCCATGTCCTTAGACTCCAGGCTCTTGTACAAAGCACTGTCCTTATCCCCAGCCCTGCAAATTGTGGGACCAGAGTTGCTTCTTGTGTCATTGCAACAGTTCCTCCTCCAGGCATCAAAATCATGCACCATCAATTCGGGAGATCTGGCAACACTGCCTCCCTCTCCCACCAACAGCCCCAAGCTAGAGAAGCAGCCATTGTACCCTAACCATCTTCTATCACTATCCTCTGCAGCCTTTCCCCGCACCTGCCTCCACAATCCCCCTGCTCCTCACCCACCTTTCACAGGGGCTCTGTTGCTCCTCACATCTGGCCCCCTTGGACCTTAGCAGGGTGGCAGCGATGGTACTTGCGAGCATGGTTTCAACCTCACTAAAAACAGTGGGAGCGACAGCCAACTTTATTGAGGGCAGTCTCCCTCCCAATACAGAGTCTGTAAGGAAGTGGCAGCCATCTTGTTTGCTTCACTCCTATTGACAGTAGTAAGAAATGGTAGCCATTTTGAATAAGGGAAAATTTGAGCATAGGCAGCCATTCATTTTGTTTTCATTGAACAGGTAAAAAACCCTACACACACATACCCCAAATTGCAAGCCTGACGATCAAATTGTGAGAATTGTCAGCACTGAGAACTGTGAGGAGCCACTGTTAAGAGCTGACAAAGAGCTGCATTAAGGAAACCATTTGCAGAAGTGCACAAGTTTCATTGGTTTACAAGAACTGTTTTCATTGGTTTTACAAGAGCTATTCTTGAGTGCCATCTTCTGGAACCTTATTTAACTATTAACAATTTACACACTTCTAGAGCTGTCTAGTAACACACCACACTTCTAAATAGTAGGCTCAAACTGAGCAACTGAAAACTCTTCTATTCTACGTATGTTTTAAGACCATGCTCATCACTGTCGCATCTGAGCGCCTTCCAATAGTGCATTAAGCCGCCTGAATCTATTATCTATCACATATTGTTTATTCTCTCCGCTTATTCCGAGATGGAGGAGCATCTATAGAAAATTTCATGTTGTAGAAATTGTGTTATAATCTTATTAGATTGATACAGATGTATTTGCAGAATAGTGATAGAAATGTAGCCGTGTTAGTCTGGGGTAGTTGAAGCAAAATGCAGGACAATGTAGCACTTTAAAGACTAACAAGATGGTTTATTAGATGATGAGCTTTCGTGGGCCAGACCTACTTCCTCAGATCAAAAAATCTGAGATGTATTTGCACACATCTGTTGCTAAGAGAGAAGCATAGGTGCTGATTCCGTGAGTGCTCTGGGAATGCAACACCCAACGGAAAAATTAATAGGTGCTTGACACCCACTGGCAAACAAACTCCTCCACTTCCCCCTAGCACTTCACCTTCAGCCGCACCTCAGTAGGTTATGGTAGCTGCGGTGACTATTGGGACGCCTGTGGCTTTGAGAACTCACCCTTGGGGAAGGCCATGCTGAGAGGTACTGTCCTGTAGAAATAAAAAGTCCCTTTGACCAGCAGCCTCCCGCTGCTTTTATTTTTTTTTTTTCAAACACTGGCCTCAGTCCACGAGGGTAATCGTTACCCCCTGGTCTCTGCCTGTCTGCCCGCCTCTCTTCCCGGAACTTAGCTCTAGCTTTTCCTCCCATCCCTGATTTGGCCCCTCAGCTCTCTCCTGACCTTGCCGCCAGCTGCTGGATCTCCCAGGACAGTCAATGCCCACCCCTCTT